GGAAAGAGAAGGGATTTGCTTAACTCCTCTAGTTAAACACTGTCATGGGTTGAATGGGAGCAAGAGGCACATCGTAGCCCTCTGCCACATACCAGTAAGAATTCATCTGTGGTTTTAGGGCCCTATAATGGACAATTAAGTCTAAATACAAGTCCCTTCTCATGACACTTTGAGCATAAAGTTTGGACAGACACATAGATGTGGTCCACTGGAGCTCAGTGAATGAATTCTGACTGAATGCACTTTGGCCTTGCTCCCCAGGTGCCAGTCTCATACCTTCCCCTCTCTCACCTAGAGAAGAACAGATTTTCTACACTTATCAGCGCTCCCAAACCAGCTTGTCTTGCTCCTTTTTTCAGTGATTGCACCTAACCTTTTTAAAAAAATGCAGTAAATGTGCTTCCAATGCTAATTTTAGACCATAATTATGTTAAAAAACCCTTTTCCTGTGCAAGGAAACCTAGGAAGCACTAGACTACCCACAGCAGGGCTGTCATGTCAGCTTGTTCCCCATTAATAACTCCTAAACAACTGCCTGAAGGCTTTTAACAGACTGAGCAAGACAGGCTAAGTGGGTTGGGGGCCAAGGAAGTGGCTTCTCCATAATAAAACATTTCATTGGTTAAAGATTTTTCAGCTATTGCAATATCTAGTCTCACTGTCAGGATTTTTCTTTGCTTTCCCTTTAACCCATTAGTATGTCAATAAATGCCCAGTGTAGGCTTCCCCCAACATATGCAATCCAATGGACAGCAAACATGCTGGTAGCCAAGGTGCACACATTGCTCCTTAACCTTCATTTCATCTCAAGAGCCATCTGTAGTCCCCAAAATCGCATTGTGGCTCCCACATCAAGTAGAAACCATACCTGTAAAAATGCAACTAAATGCAGCCCATCCGTTTTGTGGAACTTTTACCACCTCAAAAGCAATCACAGTTTTACTCACTATTTTTGTTATTGAAGACAGACACAGACAGTGCATTTTGCATATCAGTGAGCAGTATCTCCTCCCTTGTCCTCCCATTTCTCCAGAAATCTAGTGCCACCTCTGTTATCTTTTCAGCTCCTGCATTGCTAAGTAAAGAGAAAACAAAGATTGCAGGTAGTTTTAAAAGGCACAGAGTGTACAGAACAGCAAACCTGAGAAGCTGCTCCTTACCTGAGGAATATGAAGATGGCTTGTCGGTAAGACACCCCATCCAGAAGCTCATAGTAGTCCAGGAATGGCTTGATGGAGTCAATGAGTCCTGCATGCATTTTATCCATTTCATCAAATATGAAGAGTGATCTGGGACAGATGCTCACATTTCCCCGAATCCATGACTGCAACTGGTCCTGAGTGGCATAAAAATAAAAGCTGCTGAAAGAGTTCGTGTTGAAAAGACAGAAAATAGCACTTCTGCTTATTGACCTTTGTCCTGAAAGAGTCATTTCAACTGTGTCATTTTAACATCTTCAGCTTCTTGACTAAAACATGGCTAAAAACTGTAAATAAAACATTACCAAAATCTCATGCCAGTTCTGAAAAAAAAAAAGTGTGTGTATATATATTTTTAAGACACTAAGATACTGGGTGGAACAAGCAGGAAATCTCCTTGTGAGAAAGATATTCCTGTAAACACAGAAAAAATGAAAGTAAACAGTAGGACAATGGATGGGTACTACCAAGGAACAGCAACATAAAGCAAAGCCCTGACAAGTAAGATGTTTACTGTTGGCAGCACTTTGGTCTAAACATCCTTAGGCATCAAAACTGAAAAATAATGAATTTGCTACCTGAACAGCACCAGTGAGAAATTGCACCTGCAGTCACTGGCAGAAGCAGAAACAGAATTCTCAGCCCTGTGTTTTAATGATTCAGAAGTTAAATGAAGACAATTAAAAGCCCTTCTTAAAACACAATATTGTTCAGAAGGGCTGATGGTTTATTGTATTTAAAGATTCTCTCACTTAAGTGTTACATTTAAGATAAATAATAATGTAATCAGGGGGAAAAAAAGGGTTGACCTGCTGGCAGATGAATGAGAAGTAACTCTTCTGACCATTCTCAATGATTCATCATTTTTTTTATATTTGTTTAGTCAGTCCCTGAACTGCAGAGGCAGCACAGGAAGGTGGCATTGGATGTATTGTGGAGAAGCAGCAACAGTGCCTCCAGCTGCCTCAGGCAGCAAGTTTCCCAAGTGTAATCACCTTGAAACAAAAGCAGAAAAGGATGCATTTTATTTTAGAACAGCTTCAGTTACAAGAAGGGGGAGAGTAAGCTGTAAAAGAGGAAACAGATATTTCCTCCATTTAGAAGTTGGGTTTGTAGACCATCCCATCTCATTTTTAACAGATACAAACTGAATATAAACATTCAGTACTACAAGACATTGGTACTCATTCAAACTCTGCTCTTAGCAAAGTTAGTTAGAGCAAAAATACCCCAGAAAATGTGCATCCAAACTACTGGTCCACATGACACCCACCTGCCTACAGAACTGTACTGACACCAAACTGGCAGAACAATTCCAAATATGTTTATCTGTACCTTTCTGACAACAGAGTATTTTGTGATTTTATGTTACAGCCAGGAAACAGATGCATAGAAAAACTAAATAATCTGCCTAGTGTGCAGTAAAACTGAAGAGTACATCCATGCCTCAGAGAGCAAGCTTCAGCTTGCCATGGTACCTGACACACTTGGAGGTCACCTGGTGGTTCCCCAGAATCATGAACTATTAGTTTTTTGCAGTGCTCACCAGAGTATCATCTAACCACAGAAACCTGCTGAATCACGCTTAATCCTTAAGTCGGTCACATTCTTAAGCAAAGCATAAACCAACAAAAATTAACCATATCATTCTTCCCTAAAGAGAGACTCAAAACACATACGAAAAACCTTTACATTCACGGGAAAATCTGTCTTGATGGATGTTGGGATTTATCCAATTCTGTAGAGAACATTCCAAAACTGGCATAGACTACATTTTACTGCATAAAATAACTTCTAGCTTTCTAGTACCAATCGTGCCATAACATTTATAAACCAATAGTCATTGCAGGAGAGCTGTGCCCCAGTGCCACAGGTTCCACAGCACACTCTTACCTTGTAGAGATTGATGCTGTGAGCATGAGGAAAGTGTAAAGTTGCCACGAACTGATGGACATATTTACTCTGCAGACCTCTTTTATAAAGGCTTTCGGCAACTATCTTACTGACAAAGTTTTTGCCTGTTCCAGTCCAGCCGTGCAAGGAAAGGGCAAGAGGCTTTTTGGCATTGGTGTTGTTCAAGAAGCCCTTCACCGCCTTCACAACCACCTTGTTCACCAGGTGCTGCCCGAACAGCTTCCTGTCCAAATTCTCCTGCAGAGCTGGACGGAGAGACCACACCGTCAACAACGAGGAGGGAGACAGACACGAGGTCCCACCGGTTTCTGCCTCCTTCCAGGAGGGTCCAGCGCCCACCCCGGCGCGCAGGCTGCCAGGCCCCAGGCCGGGGGACAAAGGGCCGGCC